GGCCCTTGAGACACTTTAAAAGTGGCTCTTATACCTCCTCTCTGTCTCCTCCTTCCCAGGCTAAACAAACCAAACTCCCTCAACCGTTCCTCATAAGGCTTGGTTTCCAGAACCTTCCTTGCCCTGCTTTTGCTATGTGTACTTCTTTATTACAATGAAAGCACACAACTTTCATAGATATGGCTTTGCCCTTCATTTGACACTTAGACACATAACTAGAATCATTGGCTTTTGCACTCCTGACTGGAGACTCTTCTCTCCTTTGTACACATTCCTCTCTTAAACAGGCAATTAATCTTTCGAAAGTCAAGTCAAGTCCTCTTTCCCATCCATTAGAGTTGCAAAAGTCCCAAATTTGGGTTCTAGTGACCCTAGGAAATCGCAGATATTTTGCTCTTCCTGCATTGGGTACTCTGACAGTTCTAGTTTCTCGAGAAGTGTTAAGATCTCAGTCACATATTTGGGACAATCTGCCTTAGAATTCAGCCTGAGCCTCAGCAAATCTCGCATCCGTTTTCTATGGAAACTTTTGCTTGCAAATCCATATGAAAGTTCCAGGGCCTCAAGTATCTAGGCTGCAGTATCAGTCTCCTTAATATGCACAACCTGGGCTTCTGAAATGCTGCTTAAAGTTGTGGCTCTTGCTTGCTTATTCTGCCGTTCTCATACATTGATTGGAGCTCTAGATTCTTTGTTATTGCCTTTAGGCCTTTTACTTTTAATGCCACCTAGTATTTCTTTGCTATTAACAACAGATACTTTCCCCATTGAGTAAGGATGGTAATCTGGACATCTTGAGACTTGCATCACTGAAGTAAACCTCACTGGCCATCTCAAAAACGGAGGAAATGTCCAAAACTCAAAAGTTGGAGAAAAATGTGCTAAATCCAAAACCATTACAAAGTCTCCAAAGGAAAATTTAAGACCAAAAATCTTCACTACCTAGGTACTGCTCTGTGAGGGTAGTGGGGACTAATCTCTCTTCACAGTGGAGACAATGGAGTCACCATATGCTCACCAAGAAACAAAAGAAAGAGTTCTGCTTCGGACCTCTCTTCTTTCTTAAGAGAATTCAGCTACATTCACCAAAATACTTCAAAAATAATCTAATCTTGGCAAATAGCCTATGTTGGGATGTGAATTAGATGCTAGGAGAGGGTATATTTATTAGCTATTATCCTTCCTTCCTCACGTGAGCAGAGTGTCATCCCTTTGCAACTTAAAGAGAAGCTTAGATAGAGTAGTTTTAGCCTTTCAGTTTAAATATTCCAGGATGGATTCTCCTGGTATTGCCTCCTTTCTCTGAAAACTTTCCAGCTTGTCAATATCCTCCTTCAATTGTGGTGCCCAGAGCTGGACACAGGACTCCAGGCGGGGTCTGACAAAGGCAAAATAGAGTGAACACCCCATGGTTAACTGCCCCACCCCACCCTTGGTGATCTCACAGCCACACATAATAGAAAGTATTGCTTCCTACATTCTGCAGACTTGGCCTTATATTTATGCCTTGTTGCTTACTGACTTAACACAATTCTAAAGAACAATTATCCTAGCCAAAAGAAACTGCAAGGGACAATGGATCCTGAAACATGATATAAAGTGATGAACTTTAAAAGGGAAGGGAGGTGGAGAGAGAAGGGTCTCAAAAGTGGCTTCAGAAAATGTGTCTTTTCTCCTTCTGGGTGTTGCGCTGATGGGAGAAGATGGTTCTGCTTTAAGTCCCTCGTCCCACTATTAACACAGAGGAACGAGCCCAGCGAGGGTCAGAGTGGGGACACTCAAGCGGCCTACAGGTGGAAGGGCAGCTGTGCAAGGCATTCCCAGCACACCCAAGTCACCTGGCCCTGCCAGAAAGGCCTCCGCCCTGCAACAGAACTGCAAAGGTGGAACAAGGTCAACCTAGAGGAGACTGGAGACTCCAGATCACTGCTGCCAATGCGACCCATCAATCTAAGCTCTCTCTCACCTGTGATTCAAATTAATAATCATGCCACTCTCAGCAGCTCAAGGTATTGGAAGCAAAAGAATGAGAAAAGTTGTAGGTCACCAGAAGGAAAGCAGGCAGTTGCAATTTCTCCCTACCACTACTGTATAAGCTCCACAAGTTAATGCACCCCATATTTGGAAACCTGGTCAAGTCAATCATTTTGTTACTTGCTTAAGAATGGAAGATAGCGAATAATACTACTTCACTTTTATACAGTGCTTTAGAGCATTCAAAGTACTTCATTCTTACACCAATCCTGTAAGATGGGTCTGTATCACCCCCATGTTATGAAGGCCCTGGGGCTTAGAAAAGGTGGCAGAGCTGATATCTGAACAGGAACCTCCTGATTTGTTGCTCTGTCTCTTAGGCCTTCTCCAGGCAATCTGTTTATTGCTTGTGTGGAGATTATACCACTTTTCCATTATCCCTCACTGTCTAGAACATCACTTTCCTTATAATAAAAATACTGATTTTTAAAATGTTAGTTTGTTGCCCAACAGTGTTTTAAATCCACGCTAACTGAGCAAACCTAAACATGCTGGTGTGAGACCAAATTCCTCCAACAGAACAGTGATCATCCAAAGGGGACCTCATCCTTTATGCCATGCCTCCTTAAAGAACAAAAGTAAGACTTAGTGGGAAATTCTGTTGAAATTCCAGAATACTAGAATGTTGCTAGGATCAGACATGAGGAAACCAGGGACAGAGTCCAGAAATTATTGGGAGTCCAACTCCCAGTATGCTGTGCTGGCCAGGACTGATGGGAGTTAAACAACCTCTGGAGGGTAACAGACTAGCTCCACACTCACCTACCCCCGGGCTAAACCATAACTACAGCCCAAAAGCCTCTTCCTAAAGATATGGGTGCTGACTGTAGACTGGCTACTAGAGGGTGGGTCTGCGGAGTTATTTTGAAAGAGGCCAGGCGTGCTTCTGTCAAATATGACTCCGTCCACCTGCACAGTGACATTGGTTATGCTGGCTCCTTGTCTAACCCCCCTGTAGAGAGAAGAAATAACATGGTGTTTTAGGCACACAGAAGTTGTGAGAAGTTGCAGCCCACCTCCCATTTTTTGCTGCTATCCTGAAGTCACACCCAAAAGGGTGGGGGGATGACAAGGAGGAGATAAACAACAGTAGTTTGGACTTGTTGGATATTTTTGAGCATCAGCAACAGACAGCGAAGGACACTTTTTCTAATGGGGTTGTGGAATCCTAGCAAACTACAATCCCCACAGACGTGAGATGCAATTTTCATTTACAGTGGTACCCCGGGTTAAGAACTTAATTTGTTCTGGAGGTCTGTTCTTAACCTGAAACTGTTCTTAACCTGAGGTACCACTTTAGCTAATGGGGCCTCCTGCTGCTGCCACACGATTTCTGTTCTTATCCTGAAGCAAAGTTCTTAACCCAAGGTACTATTTCTGGGTTAGCGGAGTCTGTAACCTGAAGCGTATGTAACCTGAAGCGTCAGTAACCTGAGGTACCACTGTAATGCCACACTTCTGAGGAGTTCAAAGCAGTGCTTTAGCACCTCAACAACCTGATCGGTAGATCAGGTCAAGCTCCCCAATTCATATCAATGAACTTTCTAGCAAAGTAATTCTATGATCCTGGATTTCTGACACCCAGTCCCATCATTCTAGTCATGGCATATTACAGCTCTTTACACAATTTCAGGATACCCTCAGTTACCACTGAATATGGTTGTATTTGCAGATGGTAAATTCTGCATAAACTTTCCCCGTGTCTTAAGCTTGGCCTTCTAGTTAATATAATTTGAAACCTAAAATAAATGCTAAAGATAATCAATCTAACAAAAGGCCACAGCCACAGATGATGGTGGTGGTGATTAAAGGTAAAAAGGTAAATATTATTATTATTAATGACAAATGACTAGATTTATTGAGAACAAGTAACAAATATGCAAACCAGCCCCAACTCCAGTCAGCCTGCCACATACCAGCTTCCAGATGCTGAGTTCTGGGCATCATCTGATCTGCAGGTCTGGAAAACAATCTGCAGCCCCTCGGCTGGAGTTGAGAGTGATCTGCATATTCGAGTTGTTTGCCATTAACAACTTCTGGAGCTTTGGGTCTATTTGTTAGACTGGCCTCCTATAGCTTTCCATAAACAGAAGGAGTTGTCCAAATACTGCTGCAACTTCCATGGAGCTGAAACCTGACTCCTGATCAAAAACGAGACAGATCCGCTGTTGGACAAAACTATTTCAAGCACTTTCATAAATATTTCAATAAAGTGTTATTGAAAAGGGAGTTTCCATGGAGGGGAACCCTTTTATAGATTTGCATTGGCTTTATTTCCATAGTTTGCATTGAACAAATCAGTAATAAATTAGAAATGTGCCTTTCCAGTTACAACATGTCAACAGTAAAAAAATGAACCCACATTTAAATCTCCAGAAGGAAAGAAGAAGTCAAGAAAGTTGCTTTTTTTAACCCAGTCGGCAGCTTTGCCAGAAAGGGCGCATGTGGAGTCATCTGCAGCCATGTGCAGCCATGGCGCTTCATGCATCCCAAATTAACCTTCAGTCGGCCTCGGGGCGCCTCTGGCAAAGAGGCGTCCCCATGAGCAGGAAGTCACAAGCTCTTTGCACGCCAGAGAGCATTCAGTGTCACAGGACAGCAGCAGACTCTCCCATCCCTCCTCTAGGTTGCTTTCACTGTGACAGGACTATTGCTGCCAATTCGCGTATCCCTGGTGCGCGGAGATGCCCCCGTCCTTTCCAGCTCAGCCCTTCTCCCAATGCACAGCCCTTTCCTCCTCCAGCCCGCCATCACCTTGGCCCCTCGCTCCCGGTCCTTCCTCTGCCCCCGACCAGGCAGCCAGGCTGGCAGGTGCCAGCCCTGCCAACGCCCGCCAGGTCCTCGCTCGGCTGCTGCTCACTGCCTTTGCCCCTGGCAAACAAGCCCCCTGGAGCCTGCCCAGGCAAGCAGCAGGTTGCAATTGCGCTTCTCCCCCTGGGGATAGCCCTTTGCGCAGCTGCGGTTACCTTGCAATGCGCGCTGCTGTTGCTGCTGTTGCTGCTGCTGCTTCCTGGGTGCTGCTCAGCCCTCTCTCTGGTCTCTTCCTCGGTGGAAATCCTGCCCTAGAAGGTGGTGCAAAACTATGTGGCTGTCACATGCTTCCAGTGCTGGGTTCCCATCCTCCTCTCCCCTCGCCCAGGGCTCACCAGATCCAACCACCTAATCGGTGCGCAGCGATCACATGGCCCCACGAGCGCTGGCCTCCCAGGCAACTTCCTGGGCAGCAGCAGCTAAAGCGATAAGGAAAAGAGGAGCAGCAGCAGCAGAAGAAGAAAGGCGACGGGAGAGCTGCAGCCGCTGGCAGCTTTTTAAATAACCACGGGGAAGATTGCTTGGGCTACCTGTGGGGCACATGTGAGGCACTTGGTCAGGGCGCGGGAATAAATGGCCCAGTCAGTCGGCGTTTAAATCTGAGTGGGACTTGAAGGAGCAAGGTTTTTTAAATTGCATCAATAAAAAGCAGGTTAGCGGGTTAAGCAAATCCACTGCGAGATCGGGTTGCGCAAGGCTAGGATGGCTGCTAAGATGAGCCTTCATTTTGCAAAACAAAAAAAATTCCTTCCAGTAGCACCTTAAAGACCAACTAAATTAGTTCTTGGTATGAGCTTTCGTGTGCATGCAAGAAGTGTGCATGCACACGAAAGCTCATACCAAGAACTAACTTAGTTGGTCTTTAAGGTGCTACCGGAAGGAATTTTTTTTGTTTTGACTATGGCAGACCAACACGGCTACCTATCTGTAACTTCATTTTGCAGAAGCAGTAGCCTGTCCCTCGCATTTAACCATCTGAAATATTTTAATGCCGCCTTTCCTGAAATCACAGTGAGTTAACAACGCAACCGTTAAACTATATGTACAAAACGGTAAGCTATCCAGCCTGAGGCGAATGAAAAGCAACTCGCACTGAGATCCAGAGGAAAAAAGTTGTGTCTTCAGAGAAAGTCGGAGACTCTGTTGCCTCACTCGCCCGCCCGCGGGTTTCTCGAATCATCCCGCTGCTGCCCACGGTTGGAAGCAAGATGCTCCATCCAAAACTCAGCAGGGTTTTCCCATCTTCTGAGACAAAAGTGGGAAATGCCTGCTGTCCTGTTCTTCAGCTATGTGTGTGAGCAGCACAGGCAGTGGGCCTTCCTAAACACCCCTTTGCACAGAGCTCACTCATGCACATTCATGGGCTGCATAATGCTCTTCGCCGCTGTGTTATTTTCTTCACTCCTTATCAGCTAAACCTGATCTCCCTGTTCAAACACAATGTGAAAAGTGAATTCATACTTTGAATTCCTTTGCGCTGAGTTGCGCTTTGTGTCAATAGAAAACTCTGCGCTGGAGACTAGCCCTTGTGGGTGACTCCCCAAGACGCTCTGAGTGGGCAATTATTTTGGCAACCTTTTCAATGCCGGGCAACTGAACTGACTTGGAGGTATAATCAATTAAAAATGCTGTCAACCTGATTTTTTTATGTAAAGGGATTGCACTATTGTTCACATGTGGTTAATAAAATATGCAAAGTTATAAAGTAGCCCACTGGTGATGTGTTATCCCATGGCAAAGGGACATTTAACCACCTGGATCTGTTTGTTGGTTTGCTTTTAAAGAGATATGGTAGAGTTGAAAGGGCTCTTGGCAGCCATCAGTCCACACCCCCCCCTTCCAAGTGCAGCAGGAACCCCAGCATGGATTTTGAGAAAGGCATGCTGGGTTTTAGTACTCAGAGCATCCTTTTCTAAGTGCTCACAGACTGACTTGTTGAATTATCTACTCTAAGACCTTTCCTGGTATCAATGGGTCAAGTGAGTAGAATTGTAGAGTTGGAAGGAAGATCATGAGATCATCTAGTCCAACCCCTGCAAAGCAGGAATATTTTGCCCAAAGTGGGGATTGAATCCACGACCTTGAGGTTAAGAGTCTCATGCTGTGCCGACTGAGCCATCCCTAGTTATCTGGATCTTCTTTCCCCCTTTTTCTGAAGGTGGGGACAACATTTGCCCACCTCCAGTCTGTGTGAACTTTACACATTCTCCAAGAATATTCAAAGATTACAGTCTGAAATCACAGTCTGTAAATCCACTGGATAATATTATTGTCTAGACCGTATTCAATCAGTTTGCTAACCAAAATATTAGAGATCGTTACCAAATGTTTTGCTGAAATTAAGATAAATAATGCCACAGCCTTCTTACACGAGACTAATCTAGCAAAATTTATTATTGACAAATCCATGCTGCATTCTATTAATCACGGCAGTGTTATCAGGAGAGGTACAAACTGGCTCCTTTTCAATCTGTTCTAATATGGGACAACAATATTTTAATTGCATCTGTATTCTTTTGTATTCCTGTGTCTAGCATTCATTCTGGAGTATTCCCCCCCCCCCCGAACGCAAAGGCACCCTCATGGATGACACAGAAAGCACCTTTTGCTTTTCTTTTTGTGCTGCTTGTGTGGTCACTGCAAGAAGTGGAAGAGGCTAGGAGAGCTCAGACAGTAGAGAGGGAGACTCTTCATCTCAGAGCCCCACATTGGGCAAAAGATCCCTGCACTGCAGGGGGTTAGACTAGGTGACCCTCATGGTCCCTCCTAATGACACAATTCCATGATTCTACAGCAATTTTAAAATCACATGTAAATTCTAAACTATGTTGTGCACATCAGTTAAGTACAAAACAAGGCCTCCTCCAAAAAAGGCCATCTCATTTTGTGTGCTCGCATTATGTGCTCTGAACAAAGCCATCCATTGTTCTTCAGGGCAGACCATCATCCATAAGTGGAGTCAGATTCAACTGATTTTGCTCAACAAAGAGGCCCATGAAAAGGCCAAATTAAGTGACATATGCGAGATCTGTTTTCAGATCAGTAGATGTTTCTGCTTTTCCTTTAAAGGAAGTGCAGCCTTCCCCCCCCCCCTCAAATTTCATCATGGCTCCCTTTCCCTTTGGCATTTTCCCCATTATGAATTTACTTCCACCAGCAGAATAGCCATTTCCCCCTCTGTGAAAGGTTTGGCTCCCTCCCTGCAGCATCTCAGCCATAATCAAATTCTCACAAGTTGCTGGCCTGTTCTCTCTGTGTGGGCACTGGCGGACAAAGGTGGGGGGCGGCCTGCCCCGGGTACCATCTGGGGGGATGACATCATGGCCCCCCGCCCCCCGGGATGCTCAGCGCTCACCACGCCCCCTAGGATGCACGCCACGCCCCTGGATGTACACCGCGCCCGGTGCCAGAGCAGGTAGCTTCGCCACTGGGGGGACGGACAGATGTGAATGGGGGAGGAGAGGGAGGCTTGCATGAAGTTCAGGGACAATCTGAATAACATGCATTTCATTGATAATTATCCACGGCTGAACATGTATTGGGTGCATCAGTGCAAATGCTCTCAGCAAGGCCACCTAAGGAGAATCCAATTTGTCTTTCCAAATGTCCGGGCAGCTGATTATTGATCTGCCCTGCAACGAGTTTCCATTTATCTTGCTCCTCTCTGGAACACCAAACAAGCGGCATGTGGGCTGCCATGTGCGTCCCTCCCCCAATCTTGCTGGAACTGGCTTGGTGGCTTGTGACCAGAGATCAGACTCAGATGAGGAAACAAACTGTCACTCCTCTTGTTCACCGCATTGCTAATTTGCCAGATATGATTCTCAGCAGGTCCAGTTCTCTCTTTTATTTCAGAATGTGGTCGCCTTCCCCTCTTTGATTCACTTTTTATAGCTTATGTTTCTATGCAGCAGCTTCTTAAATCTTTCCTCTTGCTGATTATTCTTCTTAAAACCAATTCTACTGGAACTGTTTTGATTTTTTTTAAGAGAGTAAATAGACGGTCTCTGATATTCTGCAGAGCACCAGGGAAAGGTGTGTGTGGCTCGGAAGCAGGACTCTGTGAGCTGCTTGACAAGTTGTGCAGGACGCAGGAGGTGGTGGAGTGAGATGCCTGAGCTCTTGGGCCTTCTTCACTTTCAGAGTCCAGGGGGAGGTTGGCTTTTTAAGAAAGGCTTTCGGACAAAGGAAGCAAAACCCCTTCCTGCACCCACTCCAGGTAAAAGGGTTTCCTGATGAGCTTGTTCCACAGGAGAGCATTGGGGGGAAACATACACCCACCTGTAGCCCAAATTGCACAGTGATGTGCAGAAGAGCTCTCAGACAAACCATATAAACATTTCACAACACATCGGCTGTTGCTGGGTGATAAACCTACAGTATTCCCATCACTTGGCAGAGCAATACAAGTGAGCCCTGGGCTCCCTTCCACCTCCACAATACTATGATTCTATGGAATGACCAAGATCCCTGAGGATAACTCTGCCTCTGCGTCTGTCCTGCTCCTCGGGACGGTTTCATCATCTGTGTGGGCTCTGAGGCCCACGTGGATATATGAATAGAAGGGATTTTCCCTGGAGGGAAAACACAAACCAGCTCTGGGAAAGATTTGGTGGAGCAGAAACCTCCTATGTAGCCATGAGATACACAGGGCTCAAGGCATTTTGGCACCCAAGGGGAACCACTGAATGGTGTGAGTGAAGATCTACACTGGGAACAAGGTGGGGGACCAGCAGCACCTCCTATTCTCCAAGAGGTCACTACAGAAGCAGCATTTTGGGATTCCACCAAGACGGTGACAGATCCAGCTTCCAAGGAGTGCACCACAACTGTCACAGCTACCGTGGCGGTAGCAGCAGACAATGCATTTCTTGGAGGCCAGATCTGCTGCCGCTATGGATCTTGCCAACCGAGGTAGTTGCCTCACCTTGCCTCATGGGTGGGACGGCCCTTATGGTGGCTTCCCATCCAGTATTCTACATCTATATACTTGTAAAGCATAAGTGGCTTCAGTTATTTTCTTAGCCAACCCAGCAAAAGGCTTTTCTCTCAAGAGTTCCTGTTATTGGGGAAGGGAAATGGAAAGAAATCCTGTCCCACCTCATAACACTGGAAGTTCAATGCAAACTTCCACGTACAAATCTGTCCACATAAATGTCATCAAAATGAAACCGTGTGCTTGAATTCTGTTGCTCTCAATAGGAGAGGGGTGGGGAAATTATGGTCCTCCAGATGTTCCTATCACTCCATGCTGGCTAGGGCTGATCAAAGTTGGAGTCCAACATTAACTGAAGGGCTATAGGTTACCCATCCCTGCAATAGGACTAATACCCGACTGCTTTGTCTCCAAAATACACTCTACTTTTATTCCGCAGAGTTTAATCTTGGCAGAGTGGGAGGCTGTTGTAAATCACTGTACTGTGTGATTAAATCACA